CTTTTTTTCCAAGAATGAAGTTGATAAACTAAAACGGAGATTATTAGTTTGAGTGGAAGAGAAGATATGTCAATTTAAATTTTGTATTAGTGAGAACTATTTTGCTGGTGTCATGTTGTAACTGTCACGTTTCCTACCATTTGTTTGCTTTAGTCGCTGGGCTTCAAAAATATTTGTAGAAATTATCTAATATTGAAGTAACATTACACCGAGAAATTTCATAAAGGACGAAACAGAACAAACCGACAATCTATTAAGTCACGGATAATGTGATTTAATTGGAGAAGTTATAATCCGAGTCCATATTTTCTTGTCATCTCGACGTTCATTTCGAAGTGAGACACTGCCGAAGAAAAGATCAACATTTTAAGACAGACAACAATGAATTTCGGGAATTTATGTTACGTGTTTCTCTTAGAAAAAAAGTATTGGAATCGAACCTGGTGGCATTTTTTCCTGCAAGATTATGTGCTGCTTTTATCAAAATCTGACACATCAGGGCTTTGATGCATATGCTTGGCGCACTTTTATCAGACTGGGTGTCATGATAATTATATTGAATTTTGTATATTTGTACCCTAGCGTCACTTTTTTGGCTCTCTCTTAATAATAATAATAATAATAATAAAAATTAATGAAGTGAAGAAGAAATACAATGTATTCCCAATATGGTGTCGGGTGAAAAATTAGTGAAATATTCACTATCAAGTATGAATGACGGCAAAAAAGAGGAAAAGAAGAACAAATAAAAACGAATTCGAGCAGAAATTTTCAAGGCAGGAAGGAAACTGGCAAGTTTTTGGGTAAAGGAGAAGAAATGATTTCGACGAAAACGAGAAAGATTATTGTTTAAATAAGAACAATGTTTAACATTGACTGCGTGGTATCAATATGTGATAACATTCATTCTATCGACCTTAATTTTTTTCAACGAACTCCAGTTAATGAAAGTCGAGATTCAATGTTAAGAGATTCTCGCATTTCTTTTTTCGGTCAATTTCATTTTCCTTTTTTATTTTATTTTCGTTTTTATTTGACGTTTCGCCAAACGTATTTGTTTTGTCGCTTTTAATTTTTTCTCTCACTTTACAATTTTATTTTTCTTGACCTAAAACTTCTCGATTGTTTACTTCATTTCCTATTATTTCCATGTTTTTGTTTCTGTTTTTTAATATCATTTTCCTTCTTTTTTTTCTGTTCTTAATATTTCGTTTACTATCTTTATTTCTTTTTCTTTTGTCTTCTAAGCTTCTGCCTCAGTCATTATTGCTAACCATTAATCCATTATTTTTAGGCTTATACAATTATTCCTGAACTTTAATCCATTGTGTTTAAACATTATTCCAATATTCTGAAACATTGATTCATTAAAACATTTTAAAAAGTTTTCTTACATTTAAAAACGAGTATTGTTTTCGAATTAAATATATTTTCTTATTTAGCATTCTTCAATAGTTTCGTTTATTTTCTATTCCATTTTTTCTGAAAGTAAATTACAATCTTATTTTATTGTTAACGTTTGTAAAGGTTTTCGACATTTCACTTGATTAAAAACACAGATTCGTGCAAAATACTTGCTACTCTCGTAAGAGAACAGCCACTACTGCCTCATTCTTTTTCTGTGAAACCTTTCTTTGTTTCCTAATTATTTATTTGATAAGAAGCAACAAAATATAGACAAAATATTAATACTGGAAATGCTTCAACTCAGAATTAAAATAACTTAGGACAATTCTAGTTAGTAAAACCAAAAACAATATGGTTCGTAGATTACGGAGGTGGCATTGTGCCTGTTCAAATATGTGGATGATCAGTACCCGGAAGATGAACGGGGATGGGGACTGGTTTATACCCTTCAATACCACTAAATAACGTTTCATCACCATCAAGCAAACCCTAAATTCGCTCCACTCTTGATGAGAAGTCATACAATCGATGGGTTCCTTGCCCCGAAAGCCTACTGGGTCTAAAGCTTACTCTACACCTCAAATGAAACTCTTATATTCGTGACATCACAAAAGATGCTGGAAGAATGGTCGGTTCCTTGTGTCGCTCCAGAAAATACCGAACTCTTACTGCCATCCCTTATTTAGTTAGATCAAATCAAGAATGGGGTATTGCAGCCATATCTCGCCTGGGTGCTTCCAAGTTTTCCCTGTTCAGACTTGACCGAGATCAAAAGCGATTACGCGGCCTTTTGGGTAATGAATTATTCTTTATCCTGCAACCTTTGCCCTACAGACGAAATATTACAAGCCTCTTATTACGATATCGTTATTACTATGGAAAATGTTCAAACGAATTACATTCCTTAGTTCCACTAGCTCAAGCTGTCCCAGTTGGGACCTACCATGCCATGTTTCCCAATTTCTGTCGTGTTCCTTTGATAAGGAGCAAGTTCAACTCATACAGCTTCTTCTTCAAAACTGTTACTTTCTGGAACAAACTCCCGAGAGGATGAACACTACAATGCTAACCTCTTCAAGTCTAGGGTCAACAGGTATCTATCTTTATAATATGCATTTTTTACCACCTCTTCCCTTACATCAATCTCACTCAATAAGCCTCTACCTTGAGTAGCCCTTGATTATTGTATTTGTTGAAAAAAAAAAACAACAAAAACAAAAACAGATTCATACTCTCGTTAATCATAGACTTTCATTGTTAAGGAGCCCTCCATGAAACGATTGCAGTTTGCCGGCCACTGCTACCGAGCAGACAGGAAAATCCTATGGCATCCTTCTGGACGTGTTTTCTCACGAAAATTGACTTTCCCAGACACCATAGATTGGGACTCAGGGTTGGACATTGGAGATCTGGGGACAGCAATGCATGACCGGACGGTGTGGAAGGGGATTGTCAATGGAGTTCCGGCCAACCATAGGGATGATGTTGATGATTATGATGTTGATGATGATGATGATGATGATGATGATGAAAGATCTAATTACTTGTATATGGGATGTGAACTTCTTTTATATCGACTTCATGCCATTTACTTAACCGGTTAGAATGAATACGGCTTTGAAAAATGTTATAAAAGTGAAACTCTCCATTTGTGGATAAAAGACCCGTCCCTGACAGTCGTAATTTTCAGTTTTGATCTGCTGAGGAAATCTATTTGATCACTCAAAGTATTTAATGAAAATTTGCACGTTAGCAAAAAAGTATTCTACACTAATGGAAATCGTTCCTGATAAGTTCTCACAAATCACACACAAATACGCATACAAATGTTTATGCTGATTATAGGAATGTATGTGTGTGCGCATACAGGCGTTTCTCCGACTTAGCACAAAGTCGGGCTTCAGTTACTGTACTTGATGCTAGAAGGCTTTGAGCAAAGCTTTGAGCAATTTCCAAGCTTATCTTCAGAGATTAGATTCTAGCACAAAATCCTCGAGGTATGACTGTGTCCTATATACTCTACTGTGAATGCAATCATATCTTATAGATACAAGTATTTGAGTAGACATCCCCGTTATTTAAACAGTGAAATTAATGTTTACTCGCATAGAGATCGAGAGTCATATATCTACTGAAAATATATCTACTGACAGGAATCGATCCTGTATTCCCTGTTTAATCTGAGACAATCCCTTCAGGCCATTAAGCTAAACCCATTGCCATTAAGCTACTAGAAGTCATTACAATAAATATATATGTATGTTCGTATGTGTATGTGCGTACGCATTCGAAATGCATCAAGCCATTTTGAACATCTCCAGAAACGGTTGTATGACCTTGATATATATTGGCAACCAATCAGAGAAACCTTAATGTACATACGTGAACAGAAACACACTAGTAGGGTAACTCAGTAATTAGTGAAACGCCATTGACCGAGCAATTGACCGTATACAATGGGAACATCTCAACGCATTACCCAAGTTGTGCCAGTATAGATATATCTTTATGTAGTATCTGCCTTTTCTAAAAGCTAAAATCATTGTGGATGAAATTAAAGAGAACCTGTGCAGAAAACACATAGCAATAGCAAAATCGAACATTGAAGACTGTTTTGGAAAGTGTGATGAGGAGGCACTGAGATAATAGTGTGAGAAACCAAGAGGAGGAGGACTTGGATGATAGGCTATTTTTTATTACTTAATTTTAAATTATTGGACAATACAGGTTAACCAGGTCTATTTATTCGCATACACACACATGGGCGCACACATTAAAAACTATGGAATCATAAACGTAAACAGACCGTAGATACAAACTCCTTTAAAAGAATACGCATAGTGATTGTTATATATATATATATATATATATATATATATATATAGAAAGAGAGAGAGAGAGAGAGAGGAGGGAGAGAGAACGAGAGAGAGAGAGAGAGAGAGCTTCATATGCATATTTCTTCTATCAAGTCCAGTTTTCTCGCTTTCATTGTATTATTATCATTATCATAATTAAATTTTGTTTAGTATTTCTTTCATATTATTTCTCTTGCTTTCAAAAATGATTAATAGTCTCTGAAAATGTCCCACCAAGATGATTATGATCATTTTGTATTTATATATTCCGTAGAATTTGCTTTTGCTTCATTTTTAATTATCCAAAATCCTGTTATTTCTCGAGGACACTGACCCACGCTACAATCTACCGAGATTATTATAATCCTTCTTTTAATATGTGCTATATATAAAATATGACCCTGCTATATTACTTCTATATTAGAACACGTTTCAATATGTGACTTTATCTCTGTGGGACGAAGAGAACGATTTCTCTGTAATTGTAGTCATGCTTTTTGCATACAGCATTGAATACGTGCATTTGTACGTGTTTTTTTTTTAAATCATTTTAGTTTTAGTTTATCCTTTTAGTTTTTAAATCCTTTTAGTTTTTTTAAATCCTTTTAGTTTTAGTCAGGTGAAATGTTTATTTGACACTGCAGAGAAGAAAGTCAATTAAACATTTTTTTGAAAGGGAACATACAACGTGATTAGGGCAGGTACTGTTTAACTGGATGGGAAATTATAAGAATTTCATTAGATGAGCAAACTTTGTGACTTTGTATGATAGAGTAGGCAGAAATAAAGAGAAAGTGAAAGAAGAAAAAGAAAAAAAAAGAGAATGGAAGAAAGAAAATATGAAGGAATAGAGAAAGATAGTGAAGAAATTAAACCTACAGAGAGAAAGAAAGATGGGCACAAAAAGGGTGGAGAAAGAAAAAAGACAGCAATGAAATAAAGAGATCTAGAAAAGATAAAGATAAATATCATAAAGCAGTGGGGAGAAAAGAGAGAAATATATACACCCCGACCGGGCCTTTTGAACAGGAGTAGAGGTTTGTCCCTTCTTCTTTCCTGTTTAGGATTGGGTTCCGATTCCTTCTAAAGTTTACTTTAACTCTGTATTCCTAACGTCTAAGCGGTAGAACTCTAAAATTTTATTCACTATTCATTTCATTTTATTTTTTTCTCTCTTCCACCAAGACAGGCTCGCCCATCGTTCGGTTCAAACTTCTCTTCTGTATTTTGAAGAAGAGTTGAAGTTTATTCCTTCTTTCCTGTTTAGGATTATGTTTCCGTTCCCGTCTAAAGTTTGATTTAGCTCTATACTTCTAACGTTTGTTCTTTCCTTCGCTAATATACATCCACACATTAACCCTCTACCTTGAGTATTTTTGTATTGGTTGAACGTTAGTAAATAAATATATATGTATGTATAAAATAATGAAAAAAAATTAAAATTTATTAACTTCGATGTGCAATATGTTCGTCTAGTACATAAATTTTGATACGCGCTTCTGAATGAAGAAAGCGTCTAAAAATTGAAGCGTCCTGGTCATGACGATAAACTACATCCGACAGCAAGGCCTATAATCAGGTTGTTTTGAGGTGCATGGAACTACCTCTTAATTGCTGGTGTTCCCAGGTCAACCCTGACCCGAAGTGGTAGCAGCTTTTAGGGTCTCAGATATGGGTAAATAGTTAATCCCCAAACTGGGGTCAAAACACTTTGAAAGTGTAAAAATAAGTTTTATAGTAAAAATATCAGCAATGCATTTTAAATAAATATTACCAGTAATGCATTTTTGAGAAAAAAATGCATTACCTGCAATATATTTTTAAAAAAGTACCAACAATACATTTGACTCTCGATAAAAACATTCTTTACAAAAATACGTCAATGAAACATGATCTACAAACTGATTTGTTACATTTTCTACGAACCTATCCTAAAAATCTTGTCGGCATTAAATAACCCATTAAAGTTAAGATGCCGTAAAACAAAATAAACCAAGCCAAACTAAAAATTGAAACATTTATCATTAAAATAGCAACAGGAACAAGAAAAATGTTAACTACGAACATGGCCGTATTCGAGATATGGCAACTTACACGCCATCATTTTCAACAGCTCAAGCAAAATCTTTGAAAATGACACATAGATTAGCAGAAAGTGTGCGGAACAAAAAATAAACTGGAAAATTTCTCCACACACTAAGTTTCAAAAGAAATTTCATATTCCCCAAGAAAAAACATGATAAAATCTTAGCAGAGTACTTTGTGACTCATTTTTAATGAAACATACATTAGAGAGGGATTGCTGTTTAATACAAAAATATATATATATATATATATATATATATATATATATATATATATATATATATATATATATATATATGAGAGAGAGAAAAGAGAGATGTTTCAGTTATATTTTTGTTGTTCCAATTATTTAATGAATAGCAGCAAAAAAGAGAATAAGGTTGAATTTAAAATACTACAACTAGTGAGACGATGTTAAAACCAAACCAAGATAATATCTCTTAATTTGGTGGCAATGAAGGAAATTAACACGCCTTCGTTTTGTTTGACTCAATTGCATCATCGAGGTCTTCCCAACTGTTCCCTCAACTCGAGTTTCTTACCATACCCAATCATCACCCCATCGACTTAACCAGTATCATTTCCTACCGTACTGCGTCCTTTGCAACCCCCAGACGCACGATATCATCATTGTATTATGTTGTTTTTTCTTTCTTTTCTCCAATGGGCTTTTAACTCTTACGCTGCAGTTTCGCGACTTTTTTATTTTTTTTTTATTTCTCATGATATGTCTCTATGTCCAACGAACATTCGCTTGCTTTTTTGCTTATTTCAATAATTTTTCTCTGTACAACGATTCAGTTATATTTTTGGATAACCTTTGTTTTTGACAAATTTAGAAAGAAATATAAACAATAATAAAATTAAAACAGGCAAAACTGCTTAATGGTAGCCGTGATATAAAGCTTTTTGTGTTAGGTTTAGCAACTTTGTGTTTCTGTCCTATTTTTGTTGAACGAATCTGTGGAGCTATTTCTAGTTTACTAACAGCTATCAGGATGAGAGTCACTTTACGGAAATTATTTAAATCGGATACTCACCCTTATTATTTTAACTATACTAGCAACAACAAAATTCAAGAGATTGATATGCCATAAAACAAAATAAACCAAAAACCGTAAACAATAAACATTTTCCAAAATGTTTATCAAGTTATAAAGAGAAAATTACTGACTATATTGAAAAGAATACATTCTGTAAACCTTAGAATGCAAATAAAAACGTGTCCCACGCACAAATAAGCCAGACGTAATATTGAAACAACAGAATACAAAAATGAGAAGAAAGCAAGAATATAAATTCTATAAAAAGATTCCGTACAATTTCGAAGCAAAATATTTTGGTTTTATTTTTTCTTTCCTAATAACTGTTGTAGAGGAAATGAATGGGAGTCAGGTCGATTCTTTGTTGAGTTTATTTGCATTATTTATATAGAAAAGCATAAATGCATTGCCAGAAAAACTCGGATTCAAGGGAATCCACGTAGATAATGAAAATCAATATTATTTTAAGTATTATTTTATTATCGGACTTAATTCGACTCATAGGTTTAAACTGCTTTCATCTGTCATTTGATCATCAAAGGCAGACAAACTAATAAAGAACAAATGATTGACAAATTGATTACACTAAATTAGAGATCACAAGATTTCATGTTTACTTCTAAGATTTAAAACATACTAGAATAATTAAAAAAAATAAAAATGAATAAAATATTCAAGCAACAGGAAAAGTTAATTATATAATTAATTTTTCCTGTTGTTTGAATATATTATTTATTTTTAATTTTTTTAAATTACTGTACGGATTTTTATGCTGAAAACATTTTGTTCAGAAATTTCAGTGAGAGAACAGTTTAAAATTATATTGAATTTGGTACGATATTTTAGAAAATTGTATGTTCCGACTGCTGCTTATTTAATTCTTGTATGGGCTTGTGATTGAATTCTTTTCTTTCAAAATTCAAACTTACATTACTTTAATCCAATAAACAGTGTATTTTATTAGTTTCTTTCTCAAACTCGTTGTCGTGGGAGGGCTCATCAAAAATCATTTGCCTCCACCCGATTGAAAACGATGTGTACTAATTTTAGTATGCACTTTCTTACTCGTACCTCACCGACTTAATGGCCAACCCCCAACTATTCAAAACTCTCTGGCGACAACTCTGTCCTTTTTACTTATTTACAACCATTGATTTTCTTTCTTTCCTCTCTTCGTTAACATTTACTACAACTGACCGTTGTGATAAATATACTTCCATTTGAAAAGAATATCTACAGAAAAACATAAACAAAACAAAACAAAAAATACGGAGTAAGAATAAACAATAGTTTTATGAGTATTAAAAACGTCCAGATCAGAAAAGAAGAGTGAAGATTAAATTCTAGCCAGTCTGATAAGAAAGACTTTATTAACCAACCTCATCATCATTGCTAACTGGCAACGACAGATCAACCTTAGTGCTACTCGACGTCCCGCTGATTCTATTCCAAGTAAAAACCAAACGTTATGTTTGTAAAGATCTCATGTCATTTTCCTATTCAATGGACTTTAATCTGAACCAGTTCTTCGCATTTTACTAAGTTTACTTTTTCAATATTCTTGATGATGACAGATGTAAGCTATGCGACAGTGTTAAAGATTTTAAGTGTAGAAAAAGTAGGCAAATATGTTTTACTCGTTTCCTGTTAATATTTTTATTAAAAATATGAACTAAAATGTATGTTCGAATCATAAAATTGTAGAAACATCAACATGTGTATCGTTTGAAGAATAATAAATATACTTTTAAGCTTAGTACAATTAGTACTACTTAGTACATGGTCAGATAGTAGCGGAATAGGATCAGGACGATTGTGTTGCAACAATTTTCTAAATGAGAAGGACCTACATGACTTAAAAATCAGCATCCGTGATCCTGATTTTTACCCGTGCTATTGGCACCGATATAAAATACGCAAGTATCTCAGCCACAAAGCTGGCTGCGTTGATTTTGTTCTTCTTTTGGGAATTAGAAAAGAAAAAGAATAAGTTTGAATTTAAAGTTTCTTTTGCTTTTATTTGGGATCACTGGAGTTTTCCAATATCGTGTGGAACACAAGTGAAGTTTAAAAGAGATTTATGAAAGTCTGGTTGTTCGATTGGTTGGTTGACGTATCGTTGCAACATTTGCTTTTACATTGCTTTTTGAATTATAGAAATTGAGAAGAAAAAAGCTAAAAGAATGGAAACTTTTAAACCACATTTGTCAACATATAACTCTTATGTATATTTACACCTTTACAAAGTAATCGTTTTGTATAGTTTTTAGGTTTTTTATTGAAAAAATCGATTCCGATTCCATTTTCTTGCACCGTAAATTGCCAAAGTCCTCGTTAAAAGAAGAGTTTTCGTTACTGCTTTACACAAAATAATATTAAGAAATTAATAGTAAAATGAAATAATAATAATAATAATAATAATAATAATAATAATAATAATAGGTTCTTGATAGTGTTATGAATTCAAAGTGTTGATTCCGTTCTGTAGAGTGCCATCTGTCGGCCGTAACTGAGACAAGTCTCTGGCGGATGGGTATAAAGAATTAACTTGGGCGAACGATCGTAAAAGATGCGGGGTAGTTGTTGAGGTGTTGTTTGGTGGAGCCACGGGTGGCATTTGCCCCAGGTTATTCCCGGCCGTTGTGTCCACCAGTCTCTGTGTGTTGAGCGTGTACATAGCTGATACAGTCGGTGAGAAATTTGTGTTAGGGTTGGTGAACGAATTGCCCAGCCAGTTGCGGAGTCCGGTGCCTGCAGCTGCGGCAGCGGTCAGTAGTGGAGGTGGTGGAGGTGGTGGGGGTTGTGCAGGTGTTGACATGGTTTTATTGTTCATTTGGACATGCGTTAGCGGCATCCCAGAGGCCCTTTGGATCATACCCGTTGATGAAGTGGCCGTGTCAGCCAGTGACCATATCCGAGGCTTCATGCCATCGCTGTGGTCTTGAGAATCCTTCAGCAATGAATTCGCTTCATCGCTGAGAGCCGAGTCGTTGCTGCTAGCGCAGGGTGATTCGCTCACTGGGGGACGGGACGCGTCCGAGTAATCCAGTCTGTGGCGAGAGGTAGTTGGAGGGAGAGGAGATGAAGTTGGACTGCTCTGAAGAGAGCCTGGGATCATGCTGTGTACATCTTTCTCCACGTCCAAATGAGATACAAGTTCCTTGGCCCGACGACTGCAATCTTGATCTGTAAAAATAAGAGTGAACATTGAGTAAAAGTAACATATTACTTTAACATTTTTTTTATTTGATTACAAAAAATTGTACAATGGAATTTCACCTAATATTTAATTTTAATATTTCTTTAAATAAGCAAATAATTTTTTTTTATCAAATTTTGATGCTGAAAAGTACAAGAGGACGTTGAATAGTTCACGGACTGGTCTAATTCGCCAAATTTGACAAAATATTGGATTTAAAAAAAAATCTTTCTTGGTCGGGTTGAGAATTTTTCTGCATCTTATATAATGATTTGACGACAGTGTTTTAACATTTTTAACATTATCTATCTATCTATCTATCTATCTATCTATTTACTTGTTCATATCTATAACAATGTTAGGAAAATCAATGACAAATTCGAAAAAGGTATTCGTGTGGCACGTTTCGTCCTTTAGGACTTCATTGGGCTAAACTGGTGCTTACATTGCTGTGACTACACATGCGCATGAAGGAGACGCTGAAATTGTAAATTTTTCAAATATGTCTTTGGCTATAGAGTCTAACCAATTACAATTAATTTATTTTTCATTTTTTTATGTTTTTATCATTTATGTTATTAAGTATCCCATATTAGGATAATAGAGGATCTGCCAAGAAATCTAAAGAACCTGGACGCAAATTTACTGTGGATAATCTAACGGTTAAAGTACTTTCTATAAAATTTTGTCTAATAAATTACTTTCTCTTTTATTAAAGTAGAATTTTTAATTCAAAATTGTGGTCAGACTCATAACGGTGAGCAATTAATGCATTTTATGTGTTGTTTTGTATAAGATCCCTTTTGTGTTCATATAATCTTTTATTTAAATTCTTTGAGGTTTCTTCTGTGTATTCCTTTGTCATTGATTATTTTCCTAACATTTTCCTGGTATATAAAATATATATATCTTTTTCCATCTATAACAATACAGCGACAGAACGAAAGTAGCATTATCAAATATGTGCATCAACTGAAGTAAAGTTCATGACATTTTGGCATAAAGTATATGATACAATTTAACATTAAAAACAGGGAAATTATTCTTAAGCTGAAAATTTCGTTAAGCGTAAATAAATCAAATCTTTTAAAGGTTTCACTGCAAAAAAATTAAAGAAATTATTATTCTGAAATTAGTTAATGAGCTGCGGGACTTGAAAAAATTGTTTATTTATTGTATGTGAATTTACAAACCAAAATAAAAATAGCCAACAAAAATAAATGTATAACGTTCACGTATTTTTCCGGCAAACAGGCGTATACGCCAACACTAAAAATGCAATTATAGTAATTGGGGTTGATATTTATGTAAAATCGGAAAAAGAAAATATTTTCGCCAAATTTCACTTGAACTTTGGATTGCGTTGCAATTTGCTCATTGACCCGATATTCTCTCTCAGTTATCAAAGCATAACAGTGATGAGACATTGAAATATCTGGCAAAAGGGCAAGCGCAATAAATGGTTTCATGAGTTTTCTGCGAAGTGAAAAGTGAACATTAGTAATCTCACTTGGAATTAGAACACCCATCTTATATTTTGTTCCGATAACCGTCTCGTTGCATGCATCTCCCAAATCTTCAATATATAAAGACCAAAAGTAGAAAAAGTGTTTTTTTAAACTTTAGTATAAGTGTAGACAAGAACCCGGCAAGATTTGCTAAAACCTAAGAAACTCTTCAGATTCGGTAAATGTGAGTGATAAAACGAATATGACATGTGAATATAAGATTCCACTAAATGAAGAAGATATTTTTAATTCAAAGTAAGAGCGAATTGAGAACAAGATGAAGACCAATGGCAGGGAAATTTTCCTTTCAGGCCTACGCTAATAAATTTCTTTTTCACCAAGAAGTGATAACGTTAAAAAGCGCTGATAAACAATAAAAAGGAATTCCGTTTGGTTGTTCGGGTCAGTAGGCGAGCGTCAGTCTTCGTTTTGCACAACATTGGACATAAAACCTATTTCGATTCGTTACCCCACTTCCTTGCCATTTTCTTCCCGGCTTTGCTCCTTGATCTTGGAGCGGCAGAGCAATGTTCAGTCAGGCAGTTAGAAAGTGAGAGAAAGCGGTCAAAATGAACACATGCCTGAGTCCAAAATCTTGTGCCAGTTCGCCGACGCCACCTCGTCCATTCTTGTCTTCTCTATGATAAGAGACCAAATCATTTTTAATTAAAAGGCTTGTCCGATCATTGTTGGAGACAAGTTGGGCATTTGTCCGCAGAACCAAATGACCAGTTCGTAGAAAACACTTTCATCTGTGAAAAGTCGGATCTGTATGAAAAAATAGTGAGGAGGGGAGAAAAAAAGGCTGATCCAGAAGAAAGTTGGAAAAAAAAGACAGTGTGCGTGTCGGAAGATCATTATCGGTTGGAGGGGATGTTTTGACAAGCACCTTGCGGATATATACTGGCCATGTAATGGAGAGTAAAGAGTCGACAGTTAAAAAAAAAAAAATCAGTAAAACAGACCCGGGCCAATATTGCACTCAAAATAAAAATGTCTTGTTGAACTAGCAACTAAAACGTTCCTGCTCACTCACCATTTTGGTCACGTTTATCTACGCTTATCCCTAACATCACTTAAACTTGTTCACGCATGTCCATCTCTTTTACATACGTTCATGAACACATACATTTAAATAGATATACAAACACACTCAGTTACATACAGGCACACACAGACAGGCATACATACACACATACGCGCATTGGTAACTATATAAAAGAAGAAGTGAATGTTGAGCCATTGCCTTGTCTTTCTCTTTCTTTATATTTCCCTTTTTTTCTTTTCATACGTATACCAATGAGTATTTTCTTTCTTATATTCGTATTTCCTGTCTCTTTTCTTCTTCATATAATCACTTTAATACGCAAAATTTTCTCTCTCTTACCGCTTTTCTTTTTCCTTCTTTTATTTTTTTGTCTTTATTCCTTATTGTTTTTGTCTTTCTTAATAAATTTATAATCAATTTTATTGGGAACTCCCGCTGTTCTCACTCCTATCTCAGCAGACCTTCTCACAATCTCTTTCTTTTTAAAACTCGATCTCGCACTTTTATTTTAGCTATCACCACGAGATCGCTGGAAAATGAGTATAGCAGGATAATATCGGCCTTAAACTTGATAAAAAATTCTTATCGTCTAAATGGTCATGTTATTATCAAGAGGAAAGATCAAAGTATTTTTTGATTATTTTTTTACATTTTTTAATAATTTCTAGCACATCCAAAATTTTCGTTAAAAATCTTGTATTTTTTTTGATCAGCAAAATTGACAGAAAATCGATCGTCAATTATTTTTTTAACTTTTGTTTACATAAGTAAAATTTATAGTTTAAAATTCCTTTAAAAAATCAATTATGATTTTTTTTAATTAATTTAAGAAAATTAGAAATTATGAAGTTTATTTAATGTATTTTGAAACAAACATTACTTACTTTCTGCGCTGAAAAAAAAAGTACTTTCAAATGATAGAAAGCCGGGCTTAACAGAGGTGTTGATTGACAAGTGACATGTGCTTAATTTCATCTTACGGGAGGAAAAGTTCTAGTATGGAAGGTCACAAGTGACAGTTTAGCTTTATGTGAACAACTTATTTACCTCGTTATTTTTACATAGGCATAGCATGCTAAAAACGGCCTTAAACTTGACAAAAGCAGAATTTTATCGTCAAAATGTTACTACCAACGCAAATCACGTGACGGACTATTGTTTTCATGATGCTTCCGGTCTTCCGTATATTTGAATTTTAGCTATTTTGGGGCACAAAAAATGTTATATTAGATTTTTAGCTATAGGCAACTTTCTGATTGTAACCAACTTTATTTTATAATCTGTAAATAATATTTATCTACTTAATAACACCACTGATTAAGGTGTACAAGATTTTGATTAATTTTAAAATATTTAACAACTTTAAGCAATAAACATAAATTTAACGATAAAATAATTTAAGAAATAACAAATAATTGTTGTAAAAATTTATTTTTCATCGAAAACGTGTCTTGCTTTCAGAAAATATTATCCATATTCATACAAACAAGTAAAAGCAACAAAAAGCTTTTGAAATTAAATAATATCTTTGTTTTATTGAGTTTTGTATGTTACAATTTAGAGCTAATTTTAAGGTAGAAGGGTGTCAACTAAAAAAAAAGAAAAAGATTTGCTTTCCTGAAAGCCTTGTGCTTTTAATTAATTAATCGCTAAATCTGTACAAATTAGAATTTCATTAGTTTTAATAAAATTAATTATGGGGGGGGGGAGTAATAAATATATAAAAAAATATTTTACCTGACTTTGAAAAAAAATAAACGCATTTATAATAATTTCCATCTTTTGTGAATACTTTCTGAAAGTTTCATTAAAATCTGACAATTATTTTTATTTTTACAAGATTTTCAAAATTAATGACTGCCATTAAAAAAACAAAAAAACACGCAAAAATGTTATTTCGTAGGACCCTCACTGATAAAGAGAAACGATGTTTTTCAGTCAAAAGTTAGAATGCTGTAATAAAGAGAAAAATTTTGAAAAATAATTAAAAATTACTTTGTTCTTTCCTCTTAATAAAAACATTTTGACGATAAAATTTTGTTTTCGTCAAGTTTAAGGCCTTTATTATCCTGCTATGCTCATTTTTCAGCGATCTCGTGATGTTAGCTATTTTCTGACAAACAGACGACTTTTATATCCATTGACTCTCTTTCTTACAACACAACTTTCTTTTCCATCATATTTTTGGTAAATTTTAACTAAATCTCGTACGATACACGCCAATATAAATCTCCAATATTAACACACACACGTACACATACTGGTGTATGGTTATTTGATAATATTTTCGAAAATTTGTTGAATCGAAAACCTTTTTAGCACATTTTCGTACATATATATCAGAAAAGTTACACAGATTTTTATATTTATGTTTTAAAAGTTTTATATTTATGTTTTTAAAAGTTCACTCATTTTCTGCGTTTACCCGACT